TAGAAAATGGCATCCTCGTCACAGCAGCAGCGCTACACCGTCCATCCCGGTCCGATGGATCGGTCCCTTCTTTACCGTCAGGACAACCACCGGTCGGAAGCTGTATACAACGATGTGGAGGGATATCGTCACGGCGCGATTAAAACCCGCCGTTTCGACAGTGAGTTTTGGAAGGCGTTGGCGGTACAACATTACAAAGTATGGGAGGTGATCGAAAGGACCGGTTTCGGGCCGGTTTTCAGAATGGGCAGAATATCCACGGAAAACAGCTTGATTACATGTCTAGTGGAGAGGTGGCGTCCAGAGACGAACACCTTCCACTTTGACTTCGGGGAGGCTACAATAACGCTGCAGGACGTACGAGTCCTTTTTGGTCTCCCGATCGATGGAACGCCGTGTTGGGGAGAAACATTTGAGTTCGAACCCCACCAATGACAAGAACACTGTGTCGAATATCTAGGGTTCGAGCCCTCACTCACGGTAATTATTTTCCTACATTTGTTTTTCTTTTTTTTGTTTATTCCATTCATTAATTTTAAATATATATATAACACTCTCAGACTGATGACAACCCGGAGGGCACCCCGGAACTTACAGGCCAGTTTTTGAAGATCTCGGCAATTGAAAAGGAGTGTTATAGACGGCTAACAGATGAAGAGTCTCTCTCTCGCTACGAAGAGAGGGCGAGGGCGCTTATACTCTGGTGTATCGGGTCGTTTTTCTTCCCCGATCAGAGAACGAATGGGGTCATGCTGTACTGGATGCAGCACTTGCTCGAGATCGATCAGATCAAGCAGTACAGCTGGGGTTCAGCTGTCCTGGCCAGGGTCTATAGAGGGCTCACCTTGACCGCCAGAGCCGGTGAAATCTGGATCAAGAACTGTGTTCAATTGATTCAGGTAAATAAATGTACTTACTTGTTATTACTTCATTTATTTTTTATTATACTTTATCCTAATATATATTAACCAAATATTTTATGTCGATATCTGTAGGTTTGGGCATGGGAACGTATCCCTCGTATTAGCCCAAAAATGAGGGATACCAACTTTGACAGAGTCCATGGTTGTCCCTTAGGAGCAAAGTAATCACATTTATTTATATTTAATACTTAAAATATTTTAACTATAACATTTTGTGATTAAAATTTTTGGATTTTTTTTTTAATTATTTGATTATTAAGGTGGGTGGGACGGAGGAATATGAAACACATCGGAAAGGGAACAGCCGCTATCCGAGATCAATTGACGTGGCTGACAGAGAATGATGTAAGATTTTGATTAAGTAATATTGATTGTTATATATATTTGTTTTTCGTTTTTTATTTTTCTATAACTTAATAAATATTATTATTATTTTTTTTACAGTTAAATTGGATGCCATATAAGCGCCACCTGGACGAGGGTACTCTTCCGGCCTCGTGTACAGAAGGTTCACACCTCTGGATGTATAGAGGGTGGATCTTCTGTTGGGACATTCGTGAGCAGCACCTGACTGATAGGGTCATCCGTCAGTTCGGGTGTCGGCAAGCCATCCCCGACCCTCCGATCATTAGGGGTTTTGGCTGAGTACCAGATGCACCACCGAGGCCAGGGAATGACTGGGAGGGCATTCTATAATTGGGTGGAGTATCATGGAGCACTTGGGAATATTTGGGTCAACCAAAGAGCCCAACATGTCCTTCCACATTACCCTGTGGAGTCGTTCCTTGAGCCTGAGCCGAGTTACCTTGAGTGGTTTCACTATAGAACTCGAAGACTAATCAGTAATCCTACCAACAACCCGGTGGTCCAACAGCAAGGAGGCTTTCATCCACTGTCCGAGCAGGGGATGTGCAGTGTAAGTGTTAATAAATTGTGTTTTTTTTTTTATTATTCTTATTATTGTTATTTTTTTTGTTTAATGGAAATAATTTTCAATTTTTTTTTTTCAGGCCAATGCCATGGAGGGGGTTTATAACTTGTTATCGACCCTTGACTATAATGCACTCACTCCAGCGCAGCAGTCCATAATCGCAAATGCCCAAAACATGCTCCAAAGTGGACTGGCTGTCGGAGGACAAGGGGTCACGTAAGGGACGTCGTCGAGTCAAGTTCTATCTCAAGAGAGCTATGTCCAACCCCAACCGACGCAATCGCATCGGGCGAGGCATCGACCTGGTGCCAATATTGGGGGGCGTAGAAGACGTCGTGTCCGCGACCTCGATGCCAACACCGTGCCTGCCGACACCGTGCCTCCCAATACCGTGCCTGAGGAACAAGCATAAGAAGGTCAGATTTTTTTACTTAACTACAATATGATTTTTAAATTATTTATTTAAAAGTAGAATTTCCGATTTTTCTTAAAATATCATTTATTCATATACAGAAGCAGCTGCCACGCCGCCCACAGTATACAGAAGAAGCTGCCACAGCCTCGTCTTCTTTATAGACGTACCAGCGTCGGAAGGGCTCCAGGGAGCGCAGACCTCCGGATCAATTCACTCCTAGCAACTATTAGGAAATTTATGGACATTTTGTTTTTCTTGACTTTTTGTGTAATTAAATTAAAACATATTGGTATTATGAATAAATTATTGTGCTTCAATTTTATTTGTGGAATTGATATATTTTGGTTGAATATTTGGTTGTTAAATATCTGGTTGTGGAATTGATTTCGACAAAAAGGTGTTCTATTTTATTTCTGTTGTAAAATTGTTGTTTCTGTACAGTAAAATTGTTGGATGTTTGGAATATGCATAGAAAAGTGTTAAAGGACCGAAAAATGACAAAATCGAGCTGGGTCACACGACTCGTGTGAGTAGGTGACACGAGTCGTGTGGCTTCAACATAATGATTTTTTAGCTACGACTTTTTTCACACGGGTCGTGTGTCATGTAACACGGGTCGTGTGATGGTACACGACCCGTGTGGTTATGTCGTGTGAGCCTGGGAGTATTTTTTTTTTTAACTGAAAACGT